CACACACACACAGACACACACACACACACACACACACACACACACTGTTTATAACTGTTTTAAGGTTTCGTTGAAGATTGTTAGATTTCACTGGATTCTCGTTCTTTCTAGATCAACGAACTTACAATCCAAGTGAATGACTTGCGTGGAAAATTGTAAGTTCACTAATCTCCTCATATATTTGTATGTATGTATGTGTTCATTTTGACTTTTCTAACTTCTTAAGATACCCAAGATTTCTTTTGTACAAGTAAAATACGGAAACTCCCACCTTCTTTGAGAGAGATGTGGAGTATTATTATTATTATTTTTGTAGGTTCACATTAAAAGTGTTTGATGATATAATAACCTCAAAAATTTACAAGAACGATTGATTATATGTGGTAAGACAAGAGCTGAGCAGAATTTTCAACTAAACTAGAGATGAGTATTGAAAGAACTACGTTACATGGCTAAATAAAACAATTCTGTGACAATATCTCAATCGTTGTGTTTAAATTTGTGTCCAGGTTTGGTTTGTTTCTTTAAAAACCTGTATGACGAGTAACGCTAGAAATACTATTGTTCATTTTATTTCTTGATAACTGTTATATTGAATATATTTACATGATCCCATGAAACTTGGGTTTATAACATGTGTGCCAACACTTGGGGAATAGGGTAACTAGGACGTTTAGTTTAACACACTAGACACCTTCCTGTAAAACTTGGGTTTATAACATGTGTGCCAACACTTGGGGAATAGGGTAATTAGGACGTTTAGTTTAACACAAGTGTGTTAAACTAAACGTCCTAGTTACCAAGTGTTGGTACACATGTTATAAACCCAAGTTTTACAGGAAGGTGTCTAGTTCCTGTGTAACTGTATATTTTCTGTCCTTACAGTGTAAAACCAACTCTGAAGAAAGTATCGAAATATGAAGGAAAGTAAGTTATAATACATCTTTATCCTCTTTCTAACTAGTGATTTTCAATGTTGTAGAGTGAAGCTAAATGTTGGAAGCATCTTTAGAAATACTAAAATTGTAATAACGGGCAAAACTTATAACTAATACTATATATATACACCGACATTGTGGTGCTAATGAGTTGTGTAATATTTCATTGCTGTGTTTTTTCTATTTTATTGGCTCAATAAAAGTGATAACAGTTGCTATACATTGTTATACTGACCTGTTGTGTAGCATTACATTAGCATTGTTATACTGACCTGTTGTGTAGCATTACATTAGCATTGTTATACTGACCTCTTGTTTAGCATAACATTAGCATTGTTATACTGATCCCCTGTGTAATGTTATATTAACATTGTTATACTGACCTCCTGTGTAGCATTACATTAACATTGTTATACTGACCTCCTGTGTAGCATTACATTAACATTGTTATACTGACCTCCTGTGTAGCATTACGTTAGCATTGTTATACTGACCTCCTGTGTAGTGTTACGTTAGCATTGTTATACTGACCTCCTGTGTAGTGTTACATTAGCATTGTTATACTGACCTCCTGTGTAGTGTTACATTAGCATTGTTATACTGACCTCCTGTGTAGTGTTACTTTAGCATTGTTATACTGACCTCCTGTGTAGTGTTACTTTAGCATTGTTATACTGACCTCCTGTGTAGTGTTACTTTAGCATTGTTATACTGATACCCTGTGTAGTGTTACATTACCATTGTTATACTGATACCCTGTGTAGTGTTACATTACCATTATTATACTGATCCCCTGTGTAGTGTTACATTAGCATTATTATACTGACCTCCTGTGTAGTGTTACATTAGCATTGTTATACTGATCCCCTGTGTAATGTTATATTACCATTGTTATACTGATCCCCTGTGTAATGTTATATTACCATTGTTATACTGATCCCCTGTGTAATGTTATATTACCATTGTTATACTGACCTCCTGTGTAATGTTATATTAACATTGTTATACTGATCCCCTGTGTAGTGTTACATTACCATTGTTATACTAACCTCCTGTGTAGTGTTACATTACCATTGTTATACTGATCCCCTGTATAGTGTTACATTAACATTGTTATACTGATCCCCTGTATAGTGTTACATTAACATTGTTATACTGACCTCCTGTGTAGTGTTACATTAACATTGCTATTCTGACCCTTGTGTAGTGTTATATTCGAAGCATGTATAATGTGTTGTAGGGACAGTTTAAACGTAACTGTGAAACATCCACTCTGTTTTCAAGATCGAAGTTTGTCCTAATCATTTAATGTTTGAAAAAAAAAATCCTTTATCGAAAAATGGGTCCAAGAACGGGCTAGTTATGAAGATAAATGATGGTCAGAGACAGAGTTCAAAGTAGAATTAGGCTAATTCAAAAACACGTAAACTGTTCATCATTTCAACTTTGAACTTACTGTATCGTTGAAATATACATCTGATTGAATCAATGTATCGTCACACATTATTTTTATTTTCAAAAATTAGAATGATTGACTAGAGAGAAACTATAAACTTCAGTTTATTAATGTTCTAGTACTTGTATTGGAAATTTAGTAGATATGTCAGCTTGGATTAGGACTAACTTTTCCGAACATTTCTTTCACTTTGCTGTTTTATTACACTCCAAGGTTCGAGAAGCTTAAGGCTATTGCCAAGAACACTGAGATGGATTACCGTGCCAACCTGAAGAACGTCAGCAAAGACAAGTTCAAACTTGGAGAAGAGAAAGAAGTAGGGCTAGTTATCCTTACTTGTATAGTGTAATGTATAGGGATTTAATGGTTTATTAGTCAGGCATTGACGTCTCCGAGAAATTACTGTGTATTTTTTACAATTATAAAATGGTTTAATATACGTGTACATTCCTGTGATGAAGTTGACTTCAGGAACAAAACAAAACGATAGAAACTGACCATTCCAAATTCTAGCTTCGAGATAGGTCTATAGATCCATTATTAGAACTTTGTACAGAAAATAAAACTACTGATTATGGTTACCACTGTTACCACCAGAAGATAAAAAATTAACTATTGCAGCTAGAATTACCATAGGTTTTTTAAATTCACATTCACTTTTGATTTAATATTTGGTGGTAACGTTATATATTTTATGTTATGTTTAAGTAGTATTATTATATTAAGTGTTATGTTTAAGTATTGTTACATTTGGTGTTATGTTCCCCATGTGATGATCTTTAGTACTTCTTAGTTATTCAGTTTCACTGTACCATTTGTTTTTTTCAAAATGGTTAAACATATTTTTTTTTCTCATTCTTTTCTGATTTTTGTGCATTGCGTCACGTTGACTGTATTAATTCAGCCTTCAATAAGCTTGTAACAGAATTCTCGATCTAATGTAACAAAGTTACTAAAAATCTCTGTGGTTCTACTGTTTGATGACTTTTTTTTAGAGACGTTTATTCTTGTCACGGGACTATAATAAAGTTTAAATTGTTTCGACTTATTAATAGTCTCGTATAACAACAGTGTGTAATATAAATTTATTAAAATAAGTATGAGCAACCTGTGTTTTATGTTTGTGCTTTTTGATAATAATGTGCTAAAAAAAAGTGATCCCATACTTCAAAAACTTGAATTCATTGTTTATTTGATGTCTTGATTTAACTAGAAATTAAGCTTGCCCTGTAAGAAAAAAAAAATACTGTTTTGTGACAATCTTCGTTTTTATGTTGGACCGTTAAGTACAATAATAATAGATAACGGTCATCTATTGTGTGCTTTCTTTCTGTGTATCCAGATGTGTGTTGATGCTGTTTTGAGACAAAACGAGAACTTTAAAACCTATTTTGTAAACTCTGTTAACGACAGTATGTGTTTTATATCTTTACTGTACAACTATGTTTTTATCTATGTCTTTATGTCATCTCTTTTCTGATTTTTTTTTGTTGTTGTTGTTCTGTTTTCTTCACACTTATTTCCATATGTGTTCTTTGTCCACAGAAAAGGAAAGATGCGCCGGAATGGGCGAACAAGTAACCCTCGCCACCCCCCATCGCTGTTCCGTAATTTGTTAAATGTTCGCTAAAGCAGTCTTTAATTGTTTTGTGATGTAAAGAACAATTAATTATATGTGGGAATTGAAATTGAAAAATCCAAAATAAATACCATTATGAACATTAATGTCTTCAAATAACTCGTGTGTATTGGTAGATTTAGTAAATAATTTATTGTTTTTAGATTTTACTAGAAAAAAAAACAACAACAAAAACACCATCAAACTAAGGTTATACAGAGGTGTATTTGTGTTAAAAAAAACGTAGTTAAAACTGCAGCTACAGATAGAAACTTTGGTTAAACTTTGACATAAAGCAAATTTGCTATTAACGAGCCATCTTGGTGACGACTTGGAGTTTCATTTTACTACTTGTTTTGTAATATTTTACGTTTACGTTTTGGTGGTTCGTCCTTCCAGAATGACTTGAGAGACCACCAGTTGTTCCTCACAGACACAAGAAAATGTTTAGGGTATATTCGTACAGTTATTAATTTATAACACGTGTAGCTTGTGTCACATAGTATAATAGAGCTAATAACAGACACGATAGGCTGTTTGTCTTTAAAACACCTTACTGGAAGCTGTACGATGGTAGTTGTTTATACGTTACAGTTTTGTCTTTAAAACACTTTACTGGAAGCTGTACGATGGTAGCTGTTTATACGTTACAGTTTTGTCTTTAAAACACCTTACTGGAAGCTGTACGATGGTAGCTGTTTATACGTTACAGTGTTGTCTTTAAAACACCTTTCTGGAAGCTGTACGATGGTAGTTGTTTACACGTTACAGTGTTGTCTTTAAAACACCTTTCTGGAAGCTGTACGATGGTAGTTGTTTACACGTTACAGTGTTGTCTTTAAAACACCTTACTGAAAGCTGTACGATGGTAGTTGTTTATACGTTACAGTTTTGTCTTTAAAACACTTTACTGGAAGCTGTACGATGGTAGTTGTTTATACGTTACAGTGTTGTCTTTAAAACACCTTACTGGAAGCTGTACGATGGTAGTTGTTTATACGTTACAGTGTTGTCTTTAAAACACCTTACTGGAAGCTGTACGATGGTAGTTATTTATACGTTACAGTGTTGTCTTTAAAACACCTTACTGGAAGCTGTACGATGGTAGTTGTTTATACGTTACAGTTTTGTATCCACAACACCTTACTGGAAATTGTACGATGGTAGTTGTTTATACGTTACAGTTTTGTCTTTACAACAACTTACTGGAAGCTGTACGATGGTAGCTGTTTATACGTTACAGTGTTGTCTTCACAACACCTTACTGGAAGCTGTACGATGGTAGCTGTTTATACGTTACAGTGTTGTCTTTAAAACACCTTACTGAAAGCTGTACGATGGTAGCTGTTTATACGTTACAGTGTTGTCTTCACAACACCTTACTGGAAGCTGTACGATGGTAGCTGTTTATACGGTACAGTTTTCGACTTCTTTTTAGTATTAAAAAATTACCTTCAAGATTCCGATCTTTTACGTAATTAATAAAATTCTCAACGTTATTGGAAGCAGCGGATAACCTAAAATATTTCAAAACATTATCATTGAATTTATTGACAATCTTTTTTTTGGTCAGCCATCACTGTAAAAATGATATCAGAAATATATTGTCAACGAAAACTTACTGAGTTAGGCCTTCTTTCAGAGTCAACATGTTGATGTTTGTGTTTTGAAACTTGCTTAAATGTTTTATTGATACCGTAAACATACATATATACAGTTCAATTAAAACAATGTAAGTTTAACAACAATCATATATTTCAAAGTAATAACTTGAACATAAACTTTACCTCAATTTTTTAAAATTATAACAAAGCTTCTTCATAAACAACATTGGCAGTTTGCTTTCCATCTACCAACAAATAAAGATTTTGAGATCATCTCCCCCTTGAACACCCTACGTTTCACTGAGCACGAGAAAAGGCATGGTTGTTTGCGAAACAATCCAGCAACGTTAGTACTTTGACCTTGAATCCCTGTAGATTATTCAACATTGTCTATCAACCTGTGAAGATTGTTTGAGATTCACTCAATAGGCTGGGAGTAATTAACCAACAGGCTTTACAAAACACAAACAGGGTCAAGCTCAATTTTGACCCCCCTTGGGACATTCCCTCATAGTTTAGGGTACAGACAAAAACACATTTCGTCTTTAGATAGAGCTAGATACCACCACCTGCTTA